ATTGGAAGAGGTGATAGAGTACATTTGTTGTTTCCTTTCTTAAAGGGAATGTTTTAAATGTTTTACCATTAAGTATGATTACTTAAGGTTACTTTGTTTTTTGTAAATAACAAACTAAGAAGAGAAAGAAACTTCTTTACCAAAAGCCAACTGTTAAAAATACCACTTTAAATGTCAGCATTTTTCTTCTGTGTGCAAATGCTTATTCTGCAGCCACTGAGATAGTTTTATATTTTTTCTGTTTAAACCAATCTTGTATTTCTGAGGTACGTTCAAATTGGTAATAAGTTTTTGCCATTGTTAGGTGATTGGGGTCACTAACATGTAATATCTTTACATTTTTTTTTTTTTTAATTATTTGAGAGAGAGCAAGTGCAAGTGGGGGGAGTGGCAGAGGGAGAGAATCCCAAGCCGACTTGCTGCTGAGCCCTGAGATCATGACCTGAGCCAAAACCAAGAGCTGGAAGCTCAACCGACTGAGGCACCCAGGTGCCGCAGTATCTTTGCATTTTTGTTCATAATTGGAATAGGTCTCTGTTTTTCCTTTCTTGAGTTGTCTTTTTCTTATGCCTTGGCACTGGTTCTGCATTCTGGGGAACTGGTCAGGGAAGGAGGAAACAGAGCAACAACGCTTTCCTTTAAGGGAATCATGAGATCATACATACCTCACTGGTGAGAATGTAGTAATTTGAGCATTCCTAGCTGCAAGGGAGGCTGAGAAATGTATTTTGTCTGATCCTAAGGCAATAGAAAACAGTAAGGGAAGGTACATGTTGTTGCAAAATAGACTGTACTAGTAATACAAATTACTCATGTTAATTGGCTAATAAGGGAATTATAATTATGTCTGTATGACCTGAAAGTCTTAATGTTTCACTTAAATTTTTTTCTAAATGGAATATAATTACAACCTTTTTAGGAAAGAGAAAAGCTCTCAGCTTGACTGCTGCACTACTAGCAGGAGTGCTGTAGTCTCGATTTTAAGGAAATTAAACATGAATACCTGCATCCTAATCCTTTTCCTTAGAAAGGCACATCCCCAATCTTGTACAGTCACAGCTCTCAGCTATTTTCAGTACCTGCCAGCTCTGCTCTAATTAAAGGGTTGCCAGCATTCCAACTTTGTTCATTTTTGAAAGATTTTATTTATTTATGAGAGAGAGCAAGCGAATGAGCAGGATGGGAGGGGTAGAGGGAGAAGCAGATTCCTGCTGAGCAGAGAGCCCGACACGGGGCTTTGATCCCAGGATCTTGAGATCATGACCTGAGCCGAAGGCAGGCACTTAACTGACTGAGCCACCCAACTGACTGAGCCACCCAGGCACCACAAGGAGTTTCTTTTAAGAGCTATGTTGGGGATCAGTGAAAACACTACTATGGACTCTGGTATTGGTGAACTGCTAACTTAATGAACCACATCCGTGACAATAACTTTACTGTAGACACACTATAAGAACCTTCAGTATAAGTTGATAGCAGTCTCATCAGGTTGTAATTTCTTAATTTGGGGTTGTGATGGGTACTGTAATATAGTCAAGGTCAGAGGTTGGCAAACTTCTTTTGTAAAAGGCCAGATAGTAAATATTTTAGGCTTTTTTGTAAGCCTGATAGTCTCTCTTTTGCAGCTGTTCAGTTCTGCTTTTGGAGCTGGAAGCAGCCATAGACAATAAGTAAATGGGTGGGTGTAGCTATGTTCCGGTAAAACTTATTTACAGAAACAGGTGCCTGGCTGGATTTCATCCGTGTGCCATAGTTTGCTGACTCCTGGTATGGATACTCTAACCTCTAAAGATTTGTATTGAAGCAGGAGTATATTTATTAAATAGTACATTTCCCAGGAAGTTACTCCCCTAACTCTTCATAGTATAGGTTGAAGAACGACTACGTCATATTTAAATTAATTTCCATATCAATGCCTTGGCTCAGGTCATCTTTTTGCATAAACCTTTGTTTCTCAGTGGGGATGCTATTGGCATTTGTGGTGAGATTGTATATTGGGAAGGAATTCATTTATTTAAGAGCATGTAGCCATTCACACCTCCAGGTCACTGTTTCTAAAGATGGGTGTTAGAACCTCTGGCTGAGATGGCTTGTTTTTCCTTCTCCTTTCCCAGCTATCCTTGAGAACAGTACCCAAGTACTACCTGTTTTCCTAGTCCTTATTATACTTCATTAACTCTTAAATGGTTGTAGTTGGATTATATTATTATGCACTTAATTTCATAATCTTTTGTCATTAAATTGTAAATTCGTTGAGGATAGGGATTTTTGTCTGCTCACTACTGTCTTCCCAGTGCTGATAACTCTGCTATGACTCATAATAGATGCTCAATAAAACTTTGAATTACATGGTTTACTGTTATGGAAAAATGAGATTTAATTCCTTGCTGAGATATATAAGCTCCTGGTTAATAGGAACCGTTCCTCATACTAATTCTTTGTCATCTAGGGAGCTGAGTTTAATAACTGAGCTTAAATACTGGGTGATTCAATTTACTAAACCTTTGGGCATCTGCTGTGTAGAAGGCACTGTGCTAGGTGATAACGGGATACACACATAATTAGCATTCCTGCCTTTGTGGCATTTTTGTCTGGTGAGATGGGGTTTAGTCAGTACACAAATAACAAAAGTATAGTAGTTAAGAATGAGCCCTGGAGGCAGGCCTAGATTCAGTTCCTTTGTCCACTACTTAGTACCTGTCTTTTTGAGCAAGTTGTTTAATCTTTCTGATCCTTGTTTCTTTATTCTATAAAGGAAGCCCTCCACCACCTCATAGAGTTGTTTGAACCTTCAAAAAGAAATGATATTAGCATTTTGCATTAAATTAAGTTTTTACTATTAATAATGTCTTAGGATAGAGGCATTGTGCAGGGGACAAATTTAGAGGTTGGAAAGATTACTTCTGGGTTGAGGTAGGAGAAGCAACAGAGCTTCATGGGGAAGATGCCATTTAAAATGGATCTTGAATAATTGATAGAATTTATAAGGTGGCAGGGATAGGGTGAGATTTCCTAGAGTGGGAAGGATAAGCTAGGAACAAAGTAAGGACTATTGGGAGATGCCAGGTATTTCTTGAAAGCAGAAATGCTCCTCCGTAAATTCCACCACACCCCACCCCACCTTCTCTGGGTAATTACCTCAGTCCGTGACAGATACTAATCAGCCGTGCTCCATTCCCTGCAGTCTCACTTGAGAAGACAGTTGTCTTTCAGATCTAGACTTTCTGGGTCGAACACTGCATGACTCGGAATTAACTACTCCTGCATTCTTAATATCACTGTTCTCCCCACTCTCCATCACCTGCACAGACTAGGTTGCATACTTCTTGACAGCAGGGAAGTATGTTTTTATCAGTTTGGCTTGCTCAACCCTTGAGTATTGTCCCTGACACCTAGTAAATGCTCAAATTATTTCAGGGGGTGGGGGATGGGGTGATAAATGAATGATCCTGATTAAAACCAGTTCCAAGCAAATTAAAAAAGATTTTTTAAATAATCAGCTTTTGAAATAGATGTTGTCTGAGGCCTTTGTGTGAATCCCCAAATCTATGAATACCTCTCATAGCATGTAATTTTCTCATTTGGAAAGCTGGGGGTAATGAGGTTTTAATGAAATTAAATCTTCATATTTATTACATTCTAAGATAAACATTTTTCAGTGTTTCCAGAAGGGTACTTGAAATTCAGAGGAAGTGCACAATATAATCCTCGAACAAAATTTAGTATTAAAAAAAAAATAATTGCAGGCCAAAAAGTCACCCAGCTGTTTACTTTTGTTTACACTTTAAACATCACTGATTTTTTTTTCTTCTCTAACCAGTGACTAATAGCAGTTGTGGGATAAGTACTCTAGTCCCTCACACGTAGGGCCAGATGATTTAGGAATGTTCCACACTGTCTACTAGAGATCCCCAGCAGGATTGAATCCCAGTTGTATAACCAGCCATTATTGCACCCTTTATTGGCGTCCTTCCCTTCCCTGCCTCACTTCTCCACTCCCTTATTGGTATTTCCTAGGGCAACTTCCCAGATAAACTACTTATATTTAAAACCTTCTGTCTCAGGGTGTGCTTCTGGGCGAATACAACCCAAGACTGTATGGCAAGAAGCATTTTATTAAAAGTCTTAAATTTTCAGGTTTTAGAATATAGATTTGTAGAAATTTCTTCACAAGGGTCAGTGTGAAAAGCTTTATTATTTTTTTTAAACAGATAAGGTTTACCAAAACATTTGCTTATGTGTTGGCAAAACATGTAATAGATACTCAAACATTTGCCCTTTTTGAAAAAAGGGAGTAGCTAGCTAGTTCCTATTTGGAGGCCAGAGGTCAGAATGAGTCTGGATAAGCATCTTTCTGTTTTGTACTAAAAAATGAATCACTGATGTTTATTTACTTTTTATTTTTAAATTTTTTTAAAGATTTATTTATTTTTTAGAGAGAGAGCGCAGGCATGGTGGGGTGGGGAGAGAAGCAGAGGGAAAGGGAGAGAAATCTCAAGCAGACTCCCCGCTAAGCAGGGCTGATCTCAGGACCCTGAGATGGTGACCTGAGCCGAAATCAAGAGTTGGACGCTTAACTGACTGAGCCACCCAGGTGCCCCAGGAATCACTGATGTTAAAGCCCCAAATGTAAATGGCTAGGTGTCATTTTAGCATGTGTGGGCTTTTTTTTTTTAAGACTAAAATTTGTTCTAGGTTTATATTGTGCATTTCCTTTGAATTGTAACTACCTTCCTGGCAGCACTGAATATAAAATTAAATGTAGTTAAAGAAACAAAGAACCAGAGAAAGAATACAGATGCAAGCAAGAGAGAATAGGATACCATAATCCAAGCATTTTCTTATTTCTGAATGATAGGTTTTTATTTTAGATGTTCCCATGGAATTCTGCTGACAGGTTTTTTTTTTTTTTTTTCAGGGCAGGTTTGATTAAAAAGAAACCAGAGAATCTCTCCCAAGTTAAATGATTTTCCTAAGTCTCTTTTTCCTTTTATTTACAGAATGCTGCCTTTTTATATGGTCTTGGTTTGGTCTACTTCCATTACAATGCATTTCAGTGGTAAGTTGACATAAAACTAATAACTCCAATTATTTCTAGTAAATAGCTTGTTTTGTTTGATATTGTCTGTGTATGTATAATAAATACAAAGTATTTTAATGTCACTAAGCCTACAGTTTTAAGTAATCTCTTGAATTGATTGGATTGTTCCTTCAGAGATACTGACTCACTTTAGATTGTTAGAGTTGTATATGTTTATAAAAGAATATAGTATGAGATTCTGATTAAAGAAGGCTTAGACTGGAAAGCTTTTGGAATTTCTCATTCACTCATTATGGACCAGTGGTCCCCAGATTATTCAAACTGGAGAATGACTATGCTCTCACATCTCAAGGTCTGTGGGTAAATGATCTTTGATGACCAGTATGTTTACCTTTTCAAACTTTTAGACAAGATTGGCTGCTTACCGCCCCCCCAAGACACATACCCCAATATATATGTATGTGTGTGCTAGTATTTTCCAGTTTCCAGTAACTAGGCACCAGATTACAAGCTCTCAATTCTCTCATTTATAAAATAGGAATAATGGTATACCTTCAGAGTCAGAGATTAAATATGATAGGAATATATAAGATCTTATAAACTCTATAAAGTGTAGGGCCCTGTTGTTATGGCCTTTACCCTCTTGTTGCTTTTCTTATGAGACAAGATAATAATGTTCTCCAATGGAATTAACATAGAATTTGAGTTTGAAGATAGGCATTCTGGTCTCAGTGCTGTCACTTAATTTGATCTTGAGTTAAATAGACTGCCTAGGTCTGTTTTCCTGTGTGTGTGTGTGTGTGTGATTTTTTTTTTTTAAGTGCGTTGTAGTCACTTGCCTTTTACACTTTACAGTAATGTATATTTTGTAAACCATAAAGCCCTTTCCAGACATTTTTTTATTTGAAGCATATCCAATTTTGTCAGAGTCTCTTCTGTTCTCCATAATTTTAACCTGAGCGAATGCTGTGAGAGTCCAAAGCAAGGTTTTGACCAAAGGTTATAACCCTGTCATGTACCTGTTGGGCACCCTGAGTATTTATTACAGAGCTTTTAAATGTGTATTGGCAGTGATTCAGTATGGTTTCCCTAAAGATGAAACTGTAGACATGGATGACTTTTTCTGTGTGCTTTTTCTTCCCTCTTTGCTTTTGGTTCTGTTGGGTTTTGATCATCTCTGGAAGCACTGCATTGTTAGAGAATACCTGTGTGTATATATAGAGTATTGTAATCATTCAGATTACTCATTTTGTTTGTAAACTTTACAAAACTTTAATTGATCTTTATAAAGAAGCTTTGTAATTTTTTTCTCTTAAATTATCCATTACTGTAGAGCAATCCTAAACTTAAGCTTCCTAACCTCATGTCCAGTTGCTTCATATTTAAAACCAAGGATAGATTAGGACTGTTTTAAAAGAGTCTTAGTTTCTTGAAGATCCTGTTCATAGTATACACAATTCTAAACTTTTAGAACCAGAAGTGGTCTTAGAGAACTTAGTTTATTCCCTTAATTTTGTAGATAACGAAAGCAGGGTGTGTGTGTAACTGAATATTATGTAACTCTTCAGTGGCAGAAGTGAGGTTATGCTCAGATTCCCCAGTCTAATGTTTTTTCTACTGTACTCTGTCCCCAGGTTTGAAGATTGACAGGTAGTTATTTTTTAATCAGTTTTTGCAGTTGTTCTCCTGGGCACATTGGTACATTCTTTATGGCTAGCCAGAAGTAATTTATGTGAAACCTGAGGCAAGGAACTCTACAGTTTAGGAATGGACATGTATACCACACACCAGCGGTTTTTCACCTACCTTTGATAACGTGTGAGCTCCCTGTAGATGGAAGATAGAGACGGAAAATCAGTAATGAAGTGAAACCATCATCAGTTCAAAATTGGGTTACTTTCATTAAGTGCCGTGACCATGTCAACTTAGGAGACTTGTAGCTGTGGAACATTATATCATATGATTCCTTATCTGTATATGATATCTGTATCCTTCAGTTGACCTAAGAAATGAAACTGAATGATAAAAGGACAATGCAGTGTCTGAATTAACAAGTGCCCTCTGGTCTGTTGATCCTGTCCTGGTCACCACCATTTTCTCACGTCTTAAGTTTCAACTCTAGCTGCTTACTAAAATGACATATTTCACACCCTGTCTGAATCCATCCTAGCTATGTGTTTTCTCTCTTGCTGGTCAGATTTTTTTTTTTTTTTTCCCCACAAACTCTCGTGTCCCATCCTTTAACTTATCTTGCTATTTCTTGAACAGCTGGCAGAATTAGAAAGCATGGAGTAGTTGCTTGGTGAGTTTCAGAATACAGCCTTAAGTGTTAGGAACTTCCTTAGGTTATGTATGTTTTATTTGGTTTTATTTGTAAGTAGCTGTTAATTGCTGGGATCAGGCATTTTTCTTCTCCCTGAAATTATTTACATGAAATTTTGGGATATGTTGAAAAAATTTTTCTAGAGAAGAGTGTGTTATGCCCTTTTTTGTATTGTCAGCTCTAAGGATCTGCCTAGGATGTCTCAGAATGTTTTATCTTTAGTATATTTGTAGTTTAAGTAAAATTTGATACTTGGTAATGGTGTCTGTTGGCGTTTGCTAGGTTAATAAGTATTTGGTGATAATGTGTGTGACCAACGTGTGTTGGGGTTGGTGACAGTGACTTAATATTATTGAGAACAATTTTATTAAGTATAGTTTTATCTCTTAACTTGTTTGCCTTGTTTCTTGCTATAGTCTGTCCATTGTTTCTTTTGGCGTTGATTTTATGGGTTAGCTTCTAGATCACTTGTTATTTGGTCAGTTTTTCCAGTTGTCAGTTGCATTCTCTTCTTGGAGGAGCCCATGTCAGAAAGTAGTAGAGCAACTGTAACATCCTTATTGTACTTACGATGATTATTCAGTTTTACTATTGATTGTACTCCGTATTGTGGGACCAGAGTTAATAAAGATGCCCAGAAGGGGAAAGATACAGAAGCACAAAGTAAAATAGGAACATCAGAGAGCTAGAACCAGTCTTTATACAGCCATTCCTTTACAGGTACATGAATGCATGCCCATGCCTTCACTTGTTCTTGCCCTTGAAGGGGGTACATTGCTCGGGGTACCTTGAACTGAGTTTCTTCTTGCCTTATAGTGAGAAACCTGTGTCCTCGGGTGAGAGGAATTGAAATACATACAGTAATAAATTATTATAGCTTATAGCCATACTTCTAAATATATCCATCTGAAAATTCATATCAATCCTCTCTTTCTAGCCTGGAACCTTTTGTATTCCCATTGATCAATATCAGAAGGGTCTTACGGTGGCAAATTTAAGAGATACATAATTCTATGCTAGAAGCATAGGATTTTGGAAATTAAGCTCCCAAATCTAACCGATAGGCCTGATAAGGAAATATAGTGATTATTGTTGACATTAAAAAGGGTTAGGGGAATGAGGTGGAGGTGAGATTGGAAACATAGAAGTATTAACACTGTACAAGTGAAGTTTTTTTTTTTTTTTTAGGATTAATTCCTTAAGCACTGTACCAATCACAAGTGTTCTTAAAAGTGTAGGAATATCTGTTCTCCATTGTGGTGACCACTTCGGGTGCAAATGAACCTAATGTCTTCGTAATACTACCATTGATCCTGAAGCTTGTCTAGCATGGAGTCTGGCAAAAACTTAATAACTGTTTTTGAGCTATCATAATACAAAGTAATGCTCTTAGATGAAAAGCTTAAGTATAGTTCCATTAAAATGAAACAGTTTATGTTAACATGTGTTATTTATTATGTACACTTCTGTTTTGACAAAACTAGCATTTAACTAAGGCAGTTCTGGTAAAGTTATGCTTACCAGTGACACATAGATTGCCAGAGAGAATTTGGAAGGGCTTGGACTAATTAAGCTTCAGGGAAATTATGGATAAAAACATAAACCTTTGCAGGAGGGGAAGGAAAAAATGTCTCCCACTATCTGGGGTGATGAAATGAAGACTGGCTAAAGAGCAAAAAAAGCCATGAAGGAACACATTAGCAAATGACAATGTGAAGAACTCTTGTGTGATATTTCTAACTGAGCCTCACATTTAAGGTCCTCTCTGGTTCGGCCTCAGATGGTCCTTCTTGTCTACTGTTCCCCTAAATATATTCTTTGTGTCAGTCACATTATAATTAACATTTCCCTGGAAATGTATTGAGCATTTTTTTTTACCTATGTAACTTTGTGCCGTTTACTGTGTTTGGTCTGCTTTCTCTTACCATCTCCACCTTTAAAAATCCTGCCTTGCCTGTCTCTTTGATTCATCAAATCTTTCATTTGTCTCATTTAAAAGGAACCTCTACACTTCATAATATCTGTGTGTGGAAGTATTTATCTGTTGTGTGTATACATGTTATTACTGATTTAGAGTTAGAATATTTGCCCTTTTATTGGTATGAAATTTTGTGGTATTAGACCATTTATCCCTTCAGATATCCCTGAGGGATATCTCCAGACTCAGCTTTATTAGCCTTGAAAAGTTAAAAGTTTTATTATGTCTCTTTCCAAATGTACTAAAACTGTGCTAGGGTCATTTAGTTAATATTATTTTTACTATAGTTTGGTAAAGTCCTGAGGAAGCTTTTTCTTTTTAATGACTTTGTAAAAACAAAAAGTGCATATTGCTGTGCATAATTATCATTGGCATTTTTTCTCAAAATCTAAAAGATGTGGTGTTTTATATCACCAAAATTATTGCTAGAGAACATGCTTTAATATTTGAAAAGTATAAACCTTTCCAGGCATTGTATCATGAAAATATTTTACAGTTTTGGGTAGCCATTTCTCATGTTCTGAAATTCTGTCATCAGAATACTGAGGTCAGCAGAATTTATATGTGTTGGTGTTTTTACTCTAGTTTGTGGTGCAGAGATCATGCTCTGTCTACATACAGTTTGGTGAGTTAAGAATGTGGTAAAATGATGACCAAAATTAGAATGTAGTCTGAATGATAACCTATTTTCTCCACACACTCCTCTGTTACACACACACACACACACACATACACACACACACACACACACACACACACACACCCCTTTTCCCTTTTTTCCCCTAAGGTGGGGAAAAACTGAGGAAGCACACAGGGAAGATGGGTAAAAAGCTTAGAAAAGGAAATGAAAATGAACCTAGATATATTTTGTTAGATGAGAGGAGCTCAGTAAATAGACCGTGGAGCATTGCTGTCTCCTGCCCCCACGAGAAGCCCAGTCAACCAACTATTAAAAGTGATGGCATTAGTAAACATCTATTAAATCTAACCGTTTTCTGTATTATTTAGACCATTAAAGATAAAAGAGTGTGGACCTCAAAGAATAGGCCACTTGGAAAAACTGGAGAGTAGTATACCACTACACAGAGAATAAAATGATTTGATTATAAAGTGGACCTAACTGCTGGTTAACACTAAGCAAAGCATAGTTGGTATTGAGTTTGGGTGGTCAGTCTTTTAGGTAACAGCGGATTTAGGGTGAAATAGAAGAATAAAAATATTTCAGATTGGGAGACCATCCTGAGGAGAAGCAGTGAAGTCAAGAGGGCCAGTATTTGCATAAAGAAATTCCCGAAATAAGCCAGATCATAGCTGAGGAAGAACAGTGTTGGGTCATAACTGGGAATAGAGTTGAATAGGTACTAGGTTCTGCTCACAGACCTTAAATGCTACATGGAGATTTGACTTAGAGTATCATGGTTAGTAGGCAATGACAGGAGGCACATGTTTGAGGAAACATAGGGTAAGCCAGAGCAGAGTGAGGGTGTCCTTAAAGAGCATATCTATTTCAGTAATCTAGTAATGAGATATTGAAGATTTGGTCTGCAAGGTATTGAATTTGAGGAAAACTTTGAAACAACAAGAACTTGATGATTTGATATATATTGGCCATAACATCTCATGGGTACTTTTTATTTATTTATTTATTTTTTAAAAATTTATTTATTTGAGAGAGAGAGTGAGCTCTGGCGGGGGGAAGTGGCAGAGGGAGAGGGAGAAGAAAGAGTCTTTTTTTTTTTTTTTTTAACAATTTTATATATTTGTCAGAGAGAGAAAGAGCAAGCACAAGCCAGGGGAGCTGCAGGCAGAGGGAGAACCAGGCTTCCCGCTGAGCATGGAGCCCAATGTGGGACTCAATTCCAGGACCCTGGGATCAAGACCCGAGCTGAAGGCAGACACTTAACCGACTGAGCCACCCAGTCGTCCCAGGAAGAGAGAGTCTTAAGCAGACTCTGAGCTGAGTGCAGCCTGATATGGGGCTCGATCTCACAACCCTGAGATCACAAACTGAGCCAAAAATCAAGAGTTGGCTGTTTAACCAACTGCGCCACCCAGGTGCCCCTCCCTCATGGACACTTTTAATAGTCCTTAAAGAATAAACATAGGGTAGCCCAGACTAGTATGTTGGAATACGTGTTTTTGCTTATAGGTTAATGGTTTGTTTTTGTTTTTTTTTTAATTTCTAGTGTGTTAACATACACAGAAAACTTGTTAAAATAAGCCTGTGTTTCTTTGCATTTATGTGACATTGTGAACTAAGTGGATAAGATGTCTGCACGAAAGGCATCTATGGAGTAAAACACTTCTACAAATTTAAGGGTTCAGAGGAAAGGCCAGAAATAGAAAGTAAGACCGAGTAGGAAATAATTTCTCCTGAGGGCTTGCTGCTGATGCTCTGTATTCTCCTTACTGCTTTTCTCACATACCCTTCCTTAGATAGTTTTTCTTCTTTTTTTCTCCTTTATTTCTTTTCTTTGCTGTCTTCCACTTCCTTTCTTTTTCTTTCATACCTTTGACTCAGGTCTGCCTGGGTTTTTTATTGGCACGTGTGGACATTGCTTAGTTCTGACCATTCCACAAGAGAATTGTCTGACCCATCTCGTGAGTTAAGGTTCATTAGGATTTTATGAAGCATTACCCTCAATTTTTATTATAAAATATAACATTCTTAAAAATGTATAAACAGAAGTATACATCTTAACATGTTATTTATAAAGTAAACATTCATAACCATCATTTGGGTCAAGAAATAAAAAATTGCTATTAGCCCAAAAGCTTCCCCCAAACTCCTGCATACCCTTTCCCAATTGTATCATGTTTTAATTGGCCTCATTTACAGCTGCAGTTGTTCTCTTCCTAACCTTTTATATGCTGACCCCCACCCCCCAACAGTTGCCTGTTTTATTAGAAGGTGGTAGCACTAGTCATGACCAGGAGAATAGTAAAGGCTGAACTGTACCTCCTCCTGTTAGAAAGCTTTGAGAATAGTACAGAGAGAATGTCTTAATAACATGCAGATAAGTATCTTGAAGTCTGAGAGAAATAGAAAGCTGCCTTTGAATGAGAATGGTAATTTATACCAATTCTTTTCTGTCAGGTCTTTGACTCCCCTCTTCTGCCTGTACACATCAGATAATAAAACACATATACACCCACACATTTAAAAAGCCATCTCACACATAGGTCCCAGCCTCCTCTTCAGGAAGTAAGTATTTTACCAGGTATAAAAGTATCTGATGCCAGACCTATTGCCCCTGCCCCTCATGATCAACATTACCCTTTAGAACCCTTAATTTTATAATAACCATATACATAGCCCCACACAATTTTTTTGGGATATAGATAATGCATGAATCAAAATAAAGTTACTTAAAAGACATAGGGGGTATTGTGCTCTGTTTTGTGGTATGATATTTTGAACTTTTTATATAAAAGATTGACTTTTCTTTTGGAATCCTCTAAGATTCTAAATAACCACCTTTAAGATAAGTAGAGGCAGAGAATAGTTGGTAAAAAGCTTTGCAAAGAATATATTAGCTGGTACTTGGGATAAGTCTTAAGTAAATACTGTAGAGAGATTTAAAATGACAACATATTGTTGTATCTGCTGTTACAATTTTCAAAATTCAAAGTAGACATTTTTCCTTGTCATGATTTTAATTTATTTTTTGTAGGTAGTATATTTACATGATCAAATTAAGGTGTATAAAAGTGTATTCAGTGAAAAGTGTTCCTTCCTTATGCTTGTTATTTGCTCTACTGGTAATCAAGACCATTTATAAAAGTTAAATTGTGAATTTGGGGCAAAAATAGACTGATAGACCAATGGAAAGTGATAGATGATAGAGAACCCAGAAACAGACCTACATAAATAATGGACATTTGATTTAGGACAAAGTGGCACTGCAGAGCTGTGCTAAGAATGGGCTTTACTACAAATGATGCAGGGGCTGTTGGATATCTGTATGGAAAAAATGAAATCTGACTTCACACCATATAAAAAATAAGATACATATGAATTGTAAATCTAAACATGAAAGACAAAGTTTTAAATGACTTATTCTTACAGAATAGACTAGAAACAGGATTAATCTCTCCTCTTTTAAAAAAACAAAACTATCTGCCCCACCCCTCTTTCCCCTAGGAAATTCCAGAAACAATGAAATCAGTTATTTAAACTGAGAATTTTAAGCCATAAAATATTATTTGAACAGTTGATTATACATTCGTCTGATCTTCCTTTTCCCCTTTTGTATTAGATGATATACATTCAGTTATATAAAAGACCCAGGTGCCACTTCCCAGTCTTTTTTTTTTTTTAAACAATACATTTCACGTAACACATTTTCTTTAAAACCATATTGCATAAAGCAGAAGTTTTACTGTGCTACCAAGCAAAAATTCATGCAAGTGTTAAAAAGTTAAGATATCTTATGTCTATATTCTTTCAGGGCAATTAAAGCATTTCAGGAGGTGCTTTATGTTGATCCCAGCTTTTGTCGAGCCAAGGAAATTCATTTACGACTTGGGCTTATGTTCAAAGTGAATACAGACTATGAGTCTAGTTTAAAGGTAGGTTATTGGGTTTTTTCCAAGATACAATGTTTCATTTTGTGCATTTTTGGGGGGATGGGTTGTTGTTAAATATTAGAGCATTGAGAAATGTTGGAATTTATATTGGCACTTCAAAAGAAAATTTGAAAATTTAGGCAAAAGAACTGTTTTATCAGCTATGAACTGGAAGATACACAAGGTTGGGTTTCAGGGTACCAAGTAATTATCCTAAGACATAGGTAACTGATGATATCATTAAACTTTTTTTTTAAGTTTTAATTGAAGTCTGTCATCAGGAAAAGTTGAAGGTTTCAATCTCAGTTTGGACATCTAAGTCAGTCCACTATAAGTGATTGGCCAGCATAGAGGTCAGGTCCAGCTGCTTAATGGTGCTCTGTCTGTGATCCCATCCTGGCCTATTTATTTGCATGGATCTCACTAGAAATCTGTCGACCTCTACCAGCAGGGCACATCTCGTATCTAAATTTTTAAAAAAGTATTCTCTGCAAGTTATTTGAATCCTGGTTTGTGAATATAAACATTGTTAGAAAAAGAAAATATATTGTTGGTTAAATATTTCACTTACTATGGAAATTTGATATTTCTCAATTTTTTTTATTGAGTTTCTTGTGCTGTTTATGCCATCACTTTAGGTCTTACTGGGCTTTTCATGAAAATAGTGCTTTCCTGTGCAACAAAAGCATTGCTTTTTGAAGTATTAGAAGTTTTAGGAAAAAGTTCAAGTTCTTGTGAATTTAAGAATATAATGGTTGCCATGTTCTAAATATTTCCGTTGCAGATTATCTTGATCCTGAAGGGCGGGGAGGGAGATAAAGAATGATAAAGAGACTTTACAGTAGGTTGTAATTTGAATTTACTAATAAGGTACTGCTGAAGGTTTTTTTTTAAAAACTGTATTTAATTGTTCTAGAGTTTTAAAATAGACAATTATACAACTACCGTTTCTATCTTTCACGAGTTTATAAAGAACAATGCTGATAATATGAAAGAGTGATATACAACCAAAAACACTAAAACAAGTATGTGAAGTATTTTGTTTACACAGTTGTCAAAGGTAAGTGCAGTTTGAGGAATTGGTGCCAAGGTAAAATTAGGTAGTGTGGAGAGTAAAGGATGCCTGGAAATTGCCAGATTTCCTCAAATATAGAGCAGCACTTCTCAGATAATTGACCCTTGAACAATGTGGGGGTTATGGGCACCAATCCCCTCCCCCCATTTGAAAATCTGTATGTAAGGACTCCTCAACAATATAACTACTAATAACCTACTGTTGATTGGAAGCCTCACCTATAACCTAGAATTGCTTAACACATAGTTTACATATGTATCATGTACTATATTACAGTGAAGTAAGCTAGAGAAAAGGAAATGTTATTAAGAAAATCATAAGAGAGAAAATACATTGATGCAAAAAAAAAAAAAACCCATATATAAGTGGGCCCATGGAGTTTAAACCTGTGTTCAAGAGTCAACTGTATACTATGGGATGTGAGTGGATTTGAAATGGAAAATAAGTTTAGATATGCCACCTTGCATATTTTAACCTCCTCTTGGACATTCACAGTATAAGCTAACAGATTCTTAAAATGTCTAATAATAGAAAATAAACTTATTTGATCATTTTAAAGTATTGTCACAATAGAACTATTATGTGTGGCAGACATGTTTTTGATAGCAGCTTGGTAAATGTTGCTCAGGAGATATATTTGAGTGGAAAAAATAATCAGATAATGTCCCATATTATAGAATTTGGCTATCTCTGAACATTAGTATAGTGGTGTCTTACATAATTCTGTGGATGCAGAGCTCTGTTTCTATGAAGGTGGCAGTACTTAAAATCCTTTATAATCAGGAGAAACAGTGTTGGACAGTGTTCCACGGTGAATTGAAAGTATTCCTGCTTACTCAAGTTCAGTAGAGACTTCTGTGTACAACTTTTGTTTGTTCAGGCATAAAGGCTAACAAACCTTCAAGTCATAGCAATGTTAGCAAAAAACTCTTTAAAAAAATAAAAATTGTTTTAAGTACAGTCTTCTTGTTAAAATACTTGATAATCATCCTGATGTTTATTTCATTTGTGTGAACAGAGAAAAGAATTTTAGGGGTCCTTGCTATTTCTCTTCCCCATAACAAGAAGGTTGCCTTTGATTTTTATCTCATTTTGACATCAGCTTTTTTTTTAGGCTTCTCTCTCCATTATTCCTTGTCTGTTTTCAAAAGCAGAATTTTAGGCATCATCATTTTTAGTCAAGGAGGAGGTATTGCAAATGAAGGTAGGAATCAGAAGGAGTGGTATGTCCCTCTCCCCTTAGGTGGCCTCCAATTTTCCTAGAGTGGACTGGCTAGTATTTTAGTTTCATATGGATAGATGGGGAACCTCTGACTTTTCAACTACTGAAGCTGTTTCCTAGAAGCACATTTTTTGGTATAGACAATCAGAAACTTCAGAAACTCCCAACTGAAGCTGATTAAAATAACAATTAAAAAAAAGTAGCTTGTATAATACATGTGAAGTATAGCCTTCCGGATTGGTTGATTCAGCTGATCCAAGGTTTCATCAAGGATTCATTTTCTTCTTTGTTCTGTGTTGGCTTATTCTTAAGGCTGGTTGTGAGGTACAATCAAAGTGAAATGTAGAAAACCCTAAAAACCCCACCAAAAAACTATTAGAAGTAATAAATGAATTCAGTACAATTGCAGGGTACAATCAAAGTGAGATGATTCATTTTTCATGTCTCATATAGAAATATTTTAGAGTAGTGGTATAGGTGCTTAGTATAGTGCTAGCATATGATAAGTGCTCAGTAAATATCCAATCATCATGTCATAAAGGAGAAAGATCCTGACTTCCTGTTGATCTCTTCAAGAATACTTCTCTTTGCATCTCGTTGGCCAGAAATGAGCCACTGGCCATTCTCAATTGATTCCTTATCAAAGATGTGGTTGCTCTTAGACCAATTAGGCCCAGTTTTGGAGCAGGGCTCAATTCCCTAAATACACTGTTCTTGTCTGGTGGAGGAGTGAGGGGTGGGTAAAAAAATAGCATTTTGGTGTGGGCAATCCATCCACTATAGATCAGGTCTTCACCTCATTTTCTTTCCCTATGCTTGAAGAGGGATATAGCATCTACAGGTTTTCGATGATAAAATGCAGTTTATTTTCATAATAGATTTCTTATTTTCACCTACACATGAAGTGGATTCCAGGGCCTCCCGTTTTATTTGTATCCCTGGTAATAACTTTTTTACCAAAATGTATCTCTGAAACAGATTCATTCTGTTTTGGTACTATGTAAACAGCTCTCAGAGCAAGCAAATTTGGTTTTAAAATTTGACCCTGCCATATGACTAATTGTGTGACCTTGGGCAAGATGCTTAACTCTTCTGATCCTCTTGTGTCTATAGTACTGGAGTAACTGTCCCCACTCTACAAGATTGTTGTAAAGATTAAATTTATAGACATACACAGATATATATAGATATATGGAAGAATCTGACAAGTTTTTTTTAGCCCCCTTTCTTAGTTCTCAGTTTGTCTACTATATCTAAAACTCCTCAGTTTGGGACCAGTGTAGATACTGTTTGTGAAATCCATTTTCCCGTCCTAGAATTTAATACTTGTAATTTTGCTACTCTGCCCATCGTCAGAAATGTGAAGTTAATGCCCAGCTTACTTTTCAATGATACGGTTTTACTTTTCCATTAAATTGGTCAGTAGAGATTTCATGTGTTTAGTGAGTGGTGGGGGTATCAGTTCTTAATTTATTAACTAGTTTAATATTATCTGAACCAGGGTCCATTCCAGAGTGACATTTCTACATGGTATTTGTTGTTTTTCTTACCTGCTTCAGATGATATCCCTGCCCCCAGGGGGGTTTGGTTGCCTCTTTAACACCATATAATTAATTTGGAATTTTATTTCATTACTTTTTAATGGTGTTAATGATAATTGCTTACATTTGTTATATATTTGAGGCAGTGTATGATCATTACTTCAATAAAAGTACACTAATTTTGATAGTTATTTAATGCCTCTAATTTTCACATCCTGGCAGACCCTTAATTATTTCCTTCATGGAAGGAAGGAAATGCAAAATAAGATGTCATAACACCCATATTCTTCAGTCAGTTAATGCCAGTGCATCTATTTAATTTAGTGAAGATTATGTAGAAATTCTCCCTAATATTTACATATTTTAAGTTTCCCTAGACTATGGCAACATTGGAACTTTTTTTGGATTTTAAAGATAAAGAGTGTGGCTTTTTAATGGGGACCTGTTGGTAATTGGCTGGATGCCAATATAAGTTCCTTCATAATTTGGCATATTAGAACCAGTGTTTTAAAATTTCTAGTCCGTTGTATACCTGTACTTTCGTAAAGTACAATAGAAATGAGTTGGGAGACTAGGTAGGACACTGTTACAGGAAAAAAGATGAGCAAGACCCGTGGGATAAATGGGTTCTCAGTGGATGGATGGATGAGAGGTAATACATTCTATAAATCTTAAGGAGTTAATTTATTAACTGATTCAGTGTGGAAATAGATTCCTCATTTATTGGCTTAATTCATTTTTTTTTTTTTAACTAAAGTAGGTGGAAAGGCTCTGAGTGGCAATGAGTCCTTTGGGAGTATACTGAGTGGAAGTACCCGAGGGATATCAGATGTTGGTATAGACAGACAGAAGTCTGGAGCCATAAAGGAGGGCTGTGAAAAGAAGTAAGATTTTGAACATCTTCAGTATATAGTGTCTTTTCTTTTACTTTTTTGTTAAGGATACTTTTGGAGAACTCCAGATTGGAAACTTCTTTTTTGAGTGAAGATTGCCAGGATCCATTAGCTATTAGTTACTGGTGTGCAGTAGAGTTTCTCCTCAAAACAGTTGTAATAACCTTGTGTTACAGAGAATCAGAAGAACTTGAGTTTGAGGGCTTTGAAAGAACCTCAGTCACATCAGCTTATCCAGCAGTGTGACACATAAGCCCTACTAGAACTTTCCACTTTCAGTTCTGTATTCTCATTTTCAGAGACCAAATCCCCGAAGTACCATCACATCCCTGGACCTTTCCCTAGTCTCATCCATTTATCATAGACTATTAGGTTTAGGAATGAAGTTGTTGGTTTTAATTCTTACTTTTAGAATTGTGGCAATCTGTAACAATGAAAAAGAAAAAATTACTTGACTTGGAAGAGTACATGACTTATCTTCCCTCTTCTCACTTAAAATGGTCCATAAAGCCCTCTTTCATAAGGGCTGTGTAAAAATGACTTAAGTTGTTTCCTCAGCGTGAAGTGCTACTTCTTTTCTTTTTCCCCTCATCTACATCTTTTGGATTCCGTTAGGGAATTGTCTTTTAAACTTCTAACAGAACATTCATTTCAGGGAGCCGTGCATTCAGTTTCGTAGATGCATAGCCATAGCACGGTGCCTGGTGTTGCCAACATTTTTTTCCTAAAGGCTGTGTCTACACTAATTGAACAGAGACAACAGTATCGACTACACACACCTTGTCTAAATAGTCTGAAGTAGAGTTTTTGGGGGCAAGGACACAATTTAAAAACTAAAATAGTGGCATTTACCCCTGATTGTGCATTGGACACTTGTAGAACCTTTTTTTCTGGCTTACAGGATGTCAGCTCCAACCCACTGATTAAGAACATCCAAGATTGGATCTGGAATCCAAACATTGCTCTAAATTTTAATAACTTATGCACACATAAATAATTTGTTAATTACCCCCCCAAAAGTTATATCACTGCTTTCTTCAGGATTGGGAATATAGTTGAAGGGTTCTACAATTGAAAAGATTTGTGAGATAATCAGACTGTACAGCTAGAAGTAAAACAATTTAAAGAGAAAGTCTTGAAACCTGAGTTTTACATGTTAATTACATGAATATAGATTCTCCTCCTCCAGTTAGAAATCAAGTTCCTTAATCTATATAAGGCAAAATGCTATGAAGTTATTGTGAAATAAAAGCTTTTAAAACAAAAGGTGACTTTGGTAATAAAGATGTCAACAGAAGTTGTTATGAATAGATCTTTTTTGTTAAATTGGACCAGAAGTGCTCTATAAAAGAAAACCACCGTAACATTAAAAAAATGTGTTAGGTAAGTCTTGCTTGGAAATTAATTTTCTATAGAATGCTTTCTGCCTTGAGGTTTGTATGTAGTCTTTGAAGGGCAGAAGCCTCTACCACGTAGTAACTATTTCACACAGCAATAGTCAGTTTCAGTACTGCAGTATTTCCATGTGAGGCACAGATGTTTCCTAGCTGCTTCTGTTGGTTGCAGGGATGGGTGCTGGATATTTTACCATAGTATTTTCAGATCCTGGGGGCTGATTATTATAATTGATAGTCATTTCTGCTGGCTTATATGTTAATAGGTACATCTATTTTGCATCTGGTTTAGATATGAGAGATGAAACTCTGAGGTCATGTCATCCCCAACCCAGTCCCTCATCTCCCTTCAGTTTACTGGGAAGCATATCCTTGTTTTTCTTTACATGGGGTAGTTTTATGTGGCTTTTCTTAGTTTCTTATACTTAGTAATTATTCTCTAAGTTCCTTCATTCTCACATGCATGTTTTTGAATATGTACTCTGTTGCCAAGTAATTTTTCTATATTGTTGCTGTTTGGAAATGTTTAATATTTCATGATGTTGTGGATTTGAAATGATACATCAGTGACTTCATTGGTGCTTTTAAGATTGATTAATACTTTTATAAAACATGGTCCAGAATTGCTTCTGCCAGGTTTCATTGCAGGACCTTGCATATTGATAGATGAAATGTAGTCTAGGCAATTCGAATTATGCATCTCTCTGCTCTTTGTGAGAGAGACATCATTGTAATAGTAAAATTAAAATACTGCCATCTTGAAGTCTTTCTTTGCAGGTCAGTTTGTATCCTTTGATGGCTCAGTTAGGAAACGTCTGTCTTCTCTTCTCTACATATGCCGACAGGATAGATGAGACTCAGAAATGTCGTACAGTCAGAATGTGTGGCTACTGCGCTGCTCTTTTTGTCCACAGGAAGACAAGTGGTTATAAAGCACGCTTTGCTTTCATAGTGCTCACTTTTTATTTTCTTTATTGGGGTATAGTTGACATACAATGTTATGTTAGGTTCAGGTATACAAATAATCTGGTTTCTGTTGCTGTGGTAGCACATTAAAGGGATGTTTGAGTTGTATATCCAGTCTGCTTAGAAGGCCAGGGAAGAATAAAGGCAGTTCTTTGTTGTTTTGTTTTGTTTCCTTTTAATAAAAGCAGTTCCAGTTCTTAATGTGTTCAGATGTTGGATTTTTTTTTTTCACTTAGTCAGCCATGACGAATAACTTTCACTTTTGTTTCATTGACCGTTGTATTCCTAGTGCCTGCATTGTCTTAAGGACATTATAGATACTTGACAAACATTTGTTGAATGGATTAAATGTTTAATATTTAAGGGTCATAGTCATTTTGTTAGTGGTTTGCCCACTCAGAATATTACAGCCCTTACATTTTCAAGAGTACTGCAAATGTAGGCTTGCCTCATTATGCTTGCGCATTACAGACATTCATGAAGGAATATGATAGCTACCATGTTCATGCCAAACGATGCCTTGTAATCTTTCTTTCACTGTAACACTGGGTAGCTGACATTAGTTTATTTTTGTTAATTGAGGGTTCTAGTTGACCAAGTGCAGTTTTGTTCATTTTGTATTGAAATACAGTACTGAAAGCTTACTAATGATTATTTCTCTTGATAAAGAAAGTCTTTTTGAGTTTATATCTAGTTGTCATTATGCATGTCAATTTTCAGTTTGTCCAGTAGTTATAAAAAATACAACTATTTAGATATTTGAATTGTGGATAGGAACAAACTTACTGTCAATTTTTAAAAAAAGGATTTATACTCTGGCTGTTGATTACTTTTAATGATAAAATCTTGTAGGGACTCAGAAAATCTGAATGTACATATATGGAAATATTTTTTAGAAGAGTTCAGAGAGATTTACTTTTTTTATACTAAGGATTTTATACCAACTCTAGTACTTGTTTTCTTCTTAGTTTATATACCAGGTTTAATGTTGATAAAGTAGATGGATGTCAAATGTTACCTAGTGTTCTTGATCGTGATTTGTGTTCTTAGAAATTAGTGTTATTCATTGAATTTTAACATGCATTTTTCAGGCAGGATGATATGATGTTATTATACATGGATGGATATTGTAAACTATTAGTGATTGAATATTGCCTACACATATAATAGTACATGCATTCTAAAAAGATAATTATATTTCATAGATGAACTTCAACACAGGCTATTTGATGCATTCTTGGTAGTATTTCAGTTTTAAAAGGCACCCAATACAGGGGCACCTAGGTGGCTTAGTTGGTTAAGCATCTGCCTTCGGCTCAGGTCATGATCTCAGGGTCCTGGGATCAAGCCCTGTGTCGGGCTCCCTGCTCAGCAGGGAGTTTGCTTCTCCTTCTCCCTCTCCCTCCCCCTGCTTGTTTTCTCTCTCTCTCTCTCTCACAAATAAATAAAATCTTAAAAAAAAAGGCACCAAATACAATGATTATTGAAGAATCAGTAAGGGCAGATAGTTTTACCCTTTATTGTCATAGTATTTCGTTTGTTTCTAAAGTTCATGTCTCATTTGAGATAAGCAGTGGTATTCTGACATTAATACCATTGAACTTTTACTTTGTTTTTGAAATAATGATTAAACTATTTTTTTAATTTTTTTTAAAGATTTTATTTATTTATTTGACAGAGAGAGACACAACGAGAGAGGGGAGCACAAGCGGGGGGAGTGGGAGAGGGAGAAGCAGGCTTCCCACAGAGCAGGGAGCCGGATGCAGGGCTTGATCCCAGGACCCTGGGATCATGACCTGAGCCGGAGGCAGACGCTTAACGACTGAGCCACCCAGGCGCCCCATGATTAAACTATTAAACTACTCTATAACTGATACTATTTACTTGAAGACTTTTTCTGAAGCTTTTTTCATATGAACAAAATTATACGTGGGATAACTTGATAAAGTTAATTCTCCATTCTCAACTGTCTCAAGAAAGTAACCCAACAGCCTGTTATCAGCAATAAATGTACAAAGTAATTCTAGTTGGTTGTCTAGTATGTTTTACTTGCATAGCGTAGTTTCATGATTATGTTAGACTTTATGTACCTGAAAATTAAGACACATTTATGTGACTGAATTTAGTGCACTGATTTTCTCATTCTTTTCTTGCAGCATTTTCAGTTAGCTTTGGTTGACTGCAATCCCTGCACTTTGTCCAATGCTGAAAGTAAGTATTTTTAAGTAATAGTTTTCTACATGTATTCAGATCACCTCATGGCAAATAATAGTAGTGATGATGATGATGATGATGATAGTGAAAGTCCTGTGTAATTTTTCTTTTGGAATTGTTGGATCTAACTGTATTGGTTGCCATGGCTACTTGTACAAATGGAACATGTGAGACCAGTTATTGTGAACAGCCTGTGTCTAAAATAGATACGCCAGTGAACTGGGTTGTTGAATTAAAATTGTCTGCACTAATGAACAAGATTGACTATTTGTGCAATAATTATATTGTAGATGACTTGGGGGATTAAAAGCAGGGTTTACCAGTCTTTTAGGGAAAAATGCGTATACAAAGATTCTTAAGTGATAGCTCACTGATTCCTGCTGTGTGGTATTAAAGTTACTGATAATTATGAAAACATTTTATTCTACTTTTACATATATATAAAGTTTGAAGTGACATTTTTCAATTAATTAAAAAAGAATGTGAGAAATATGTTCTGCTACAGTGTTTTTTTTCAGACAGTTATTTTCTGCTTCTGTGTATGTTTCTTTCCAAAAGCAGATTGGTTTATGATGTGTTTATCAATAAGTGAGTGTTGGCATATTTAGTGTAATAGTAGCCAATAAAAGTTTTAAGGATATACATTGGATTCAAGCTGGATTTCTTTAAAACTTTCTTTCTTGAAAAATAGGTGTAAAAAGTTAAATCATTCTTAATGAAAATTTCAGGTCAAAGGATTCTAGGTTTGAGAAAGTATTTTGCTCTAAGTGACTCGTGCTTTAACCCTAGAGAATGGCGTTAAGTGAAAATAGCGTCAGTGTTAAAAATGCCTAAGAAAATGATGGAATATATGAAAAGGTTATAGAAATTAGGATGTAACTTGCTATTACATGAATTATGACATGGTGTGGATTAAACCATCATCTAAACCAGACCAGTTATCTCATATTGCTACTAGAGGCAATTTCCTGAGAAAACATAAAAGATTTCTATTTTCTTTAAATGAAACTGATCAGTGTATTTGCAGAATAAATGGTGGGAAGGTAACAAGTGCAGCAGTATTTTAGTTTCTAAGATGAGGTTAGATTAGACAAAATTTAACTCATTGATACACTTTTATTAAAATCTATTCTTTTTCCTAATTATACAGGAATAAGAAAATAGCTCCTTTTCATTTGATTGATTATATCTAGTACCTTAAAGCAAACTCTCATAACTAATATGTCAGTTTGAATGATAACTTCTGAGGGATGTTTCATAAATGTCAAACTGAATATTTTGGTAAATCCTCATTTTATTCTACCCTGTTGAGGTTAAATCTCAGTTGTACGTCATTGCTCTTGCTTGAGAGGAAAACACCTACATCCGTAGAATGAGCACCATTGGGCAGGAAACTTCCTGTTGAACGTGAAGAGGATGATTTGAACCATAATGAATACATCTTCAAGTTTACTATGTCTCTGTTGGTTGTTGAGAAAGGAAATAGGAGGGAGTGTGACCAACATCCTGTTTTGCCCAGGACTGAGGAGTTTGCCTGGACTCAGGACTTTCTGTGCTACAAGGCTGGTTACTGTGATGGAAGGGAACGTGCTTCATTTAGAGACATTAGGCCATTATAGTTCAGTTGATTTGGGTAGTTTATCTTAGGCTGTCTGCATGATTACATGATAACCACGGTAATGGCTAATGTCTCACAGAGCATTAACAAATGTAGACTACCTACTTTGAGCCAGACATTTTTACAATTTAAGTACCAGGCTCTTATTATCTTTGCAAAGCTTATTTCTCTTTGAATTTTTAACGTCATCACCTATTTGTGTATGCCACAGACCTTGACTATTCTTTGAAATCTTACATATTACTTTGTGATACTACAAAGATCAGAAGATTATAGAAAGGAAAGTAAGCTTTTAAAAAAACATCTATATGAGATATTTCTCTTATGGCACAATTCATTTATGCAATTAAAAAGTAAGTAGATACACTTATTGCTTCTAGAGCTTTTTAAGAGGGATTAGTTACAGTTGGTGTTTTAAAAGTAGGATCGTGGTGATGTGAGACTTCATTATATGATGGCCCTTGTGATAAAATTGTTTCCTGTAGATTTAATTAATTCTTTTAATTCTAAAAATAATGTATAGCTTCTGAATAAAGTTTAATTTCAGAACCTTTTATAGCAGAATTTGTTAAAAATTTCAGCTTTAATTGAGACTTAGCCAAGTGGAGCTTTTTCTTAGTTGTATGGTTATGTTCCTCTTGAAGAGGACTTCTAAGAATTTAAATATGTGATAATTTTCACACTACAAAAGATGACACTGTATTTAGTAATTCATTGCATAGGAAAGCCCTGGACAGAGGGAGGGCCTAGGGACTGAGCTTGGAGGAAGTTTGGGGTGGTGGTAGGATGCTAGCTAGTTGCTGTTCTGTTCTTCTTTCTCACCTTTATTAGAGAAGTAAGTAGATCGGGGGAAATGAGCATAGATTTTTCCATCTCTTTCTCATTCTCTTAATCTGTAACCCAGTCTCCTTCCATTGATGTAGTGAGGTAAGATTTGGAAATGGTATCTCAAGGGAGGGCTGTGTTGGAAAAGGGGAATGGAAAATAAAAGCCCTCAACAGATCTAGGCAGAGGGGATATCTATATATGTAGAACTTTTATTGTTATTTTTATGTGTTTTTCACGAAAAGCTGATTGTAATCTTCTAAAGATATTTTTATTTTGCCTCGTCCCTGATTAGTTAACATGTAATATTTAACGATTATTTATGGAGAGATGTAGTTTTACTTTTTTTTTTTTTTAAAGATTTTATTTATTTGACAGAGAGAGACACAGCGAGAGAGGGAACACAAGCAGGGGGAATGGGAGAGGGAGAAGCAGGCTTCCCGTGGAGCAGGGAGCCCTATATGGGACTCGATCCCAGGACTCTGGGATCATGACCTGAGCCAAAGGCAGACGCTTAACGACTGAGCCACCCAGGCGCCCCTAGTTTTACTTTTGATCTAAAAATGTTTGATTTTAAAGTTCATCATATATTTTGTTTGTTTTATTCTTTATGGTTATTTAGTTTAGTTCTTCCCAGATGCTAGTCTAGAACAGGTATAAGAATCTCTTGCAGAACTGATTTGAAAAGGCAACTTTCCAGGCTACGCCATAGGCTCACTGAATCATAATCTCAGGAATCTCTACTTTTTTTTTTTTAAAGATTTTATTTATTTATTTGACAGAGAGAGACAGTGAGAGAGGGAGCACAGGGAGGGGGAGTGGGAGAGGGAGAAGCAGGCTTCCCGCTGAGCAAGGAGCCTGAAATGGGGAAATGGGGCTCGATCCCAAGACCCTGGGATCATGACCTGAGCCAAAGCAGACGCATAACGATTGAGCCACCCAGGCGCCCCAGGAATCTCTATTTTTAACACGCCTCCCAGGTGAATCTTACAGTTAGAGGAATCAGTGAGAGAGTTAGTTCATGGTACATCCAGCAGTGAATACTTGACAGTAGTCCTATGGACCTTGTTTTTAAAGATCCACACCAACATTTTTGCATATAAATTTGAAAGGCTTAAATCCAGCTAGGAAATCCAGGTAGTTAGAACATTAAAAAGAGAGTTGTCATTGAAGAATGAAAATTATAGTATCGAAGTAGCTAGAATCCAATTTTGATTCCTGGTTCATTGTTGCTTTTGTTGGATCATTCATACTTTGGTTTGGTATCAGGGAGAGCTGCAAACAAAAGCTAAAATATATTCTTACTTGATTTTCAAGACATATTTGTTAATCTTGGGACTGTTTACTATTCTTGCCTTCTAAGTGGTTTTTGACTTTTTTTTTCTTAATTCTGAGGAACCGATAGAGAAATGCAACAGTTCACTTCCTCTGTGTGTTATTTCCAGCATCATCCTGCTTTATGACTTCTTTATAAATGTTGTTATGAAATGTGGTATAAGGAATTAGAGGCTTTCTTTGGTTTTTATATGTTTTTTTATCATATATTGACTTTACTATATTTTATTGTCTTGGAACTCAGCTTTTAAATACCATGTTTTGAAATGCATGGATTATAGGAGTTTTCTATATTTGCTTCATCTTGCAGTTTTGAACTTTGTAAGGCGTATACTCACTTGCTATAGATTTTAATGTTAATTTTAATATTACACTGACAAAATTTGATAGTGAGCAACAGTGAATACATGTGGCACATGTGGCGTCTTATGTTCATGTTCTTTAGTGTGTTTGCTTGTATATTGTTTTATTAAAAATAAGTTATGTCTCATTGTTAAATCTCTATAGAGTAGATTGTGCTTAATGTTTGACATTTTATATTCTTACTTAATTTACCCCAAACACTATTATATTGGTATTGATTTTTATTTTCCATCATCTTTGCAGTTCAATTTCACATTGCCCACTTATATGAAACCCAGGTAAGTGTTTTAACTTACCTTACTTAAAGTGATCACCCATATCATTGTAAGTGAAGTCAGACATACATAAAATTTAATGGGATTCTGGGCATTATCTCCTTCATGTATTTTATACTCATTAAATGTGATCAAGATTTTGTGTAGTGAAACAGTACTTGCTATATATGAGGAAATTTCATTTAATATGTTTTGCCTCTAAACTTGAACTATCTGCAGCCTTAAATGATTTAAGATTTCTCTTATTCTTGATGTGGAATGACTTTCTTTGCAAAATGTTCATAGATAGTTGTTATAACGCATTGTTGTTAGTTTTACTTTTTCTTACAATTGAACTATCCCTTCCACGTGTCACCATTTGAAAGGCGTATTAGAGTTACCCCTTGATCTCAATTCTTTTAAGGTTGCTATACTTAAAAAAACCTTTTCAGTTTAATTTTATTTATTTATTTATTTATTTTTTAAAGATTTTATTTATTTATTCATGAGAGACAGAGGAGGAGAGAGAGAGAGAGAAGCAGAGGGAGAAGCAGGCTCCCAAGGAGCAGGGAGCCCGATGCGGGACTCGATCCCAGGACCCTGGGATCATGACCTCAGCCGAAGGCAGACGCTTAACCATCTGAGCCACCCAGGCGCCCCCAGTTTAATTTTAGAACATTTTGTTTTTGTGTGTGGAAGATTTTGCTAAGTTGTGTGATAAAAGGTATAACACAGACATTTATTTTTGGCTGTGGGATGGCAAATCAGTTACAAGTTAGTATGAGAGTAAAATATTAAGTAATCGAGGTTTACCTGAAACATAAATTTAATAACCACTTTTTGGGGAAAAAAATACTGTTAACGTTTGTACATCTATTTTGTAAGGTCTCTTTAGTTTCAGGGCTATCATGGGGTGCTTGAAAAAATTAACATTGGATTCTTGGGCCCTTCATCTGCTGAGGCCCTCCCCCCTGACATGCATGTGTGCCCACTATATAAGAATTTATGCACACTCAAGTTTGGATACCCTACTAATCTAGGGATTTTATCCACCTTGAGAAGATGCATGTGAGAATTACATCACCTTGTGGATCAGAGTCTTTACCTGCCAGTGCTAATCCTAGCCTCTTGCCAACTGCTGATTTTTGCCAAATCAGCGAAGGCCTCAGGGTGAAAGCAGCTACAGAAATCCCCTCCCTCTCCAAAGTTGTTCTTTCCTTGGAGTCTTCACTCCTTCTGTTATTACCTCAGAGCTTTCTGCTGCCTTCAAAATGAGAAGTTCTGTTTTTTTCCCCCTAAAATTTTCTAGTTCTTAGTGAGATTACTGGTCTGTTACTAGCTGAAGCAGAAGTTTTCTCACTTTTATTTTTTTAATTTAGTGTTTTGAGAGGAGGGGGAGAGAGAGGAGAGGAGGACCAGAGGGGGGGAGAGAGAATCTGAAGCAAGCTCCAGGCCTAGCATGGACGCTGACGTGGGGCTCGATCTCAGGACCCAGAGATCATGACCTGAGCCAAAACCAAGAGTTGGATGCTTAACTCACTGAGCCACCCAGGCGCCCCATTCTCACCTTTATTTTTATTTTTTTTAATTTTTAAAGATTTTATTTATTTATTCATGAGAGACAGAGAGGCAGAGGCAGGCTCCCCGCAGAGCAGGGAGCCTGATGTGGGACTCTGAACCAGGACCCTGGGATCATGACCTGAGCTGAAGGCAGATGCTTAACCAACTGAGCCAGCCAGGCACCTTCTCACCTTTATTTTTAATAAGAGTTTTTACTGGTGGTGGAATTCCATTTTATTATTTCATTTGATCACTTTAAAATTTACGTTCCATTGTCTTCTGGCTTTCATTGTTTCTGATGAGAAGTTGTCTGTTGGTGTTAAGCTTTTAATCTTGTGAAGGTACTGTGGGGACAGGGCCCTCCCTCCATTAATTCTTTCATTTGGTAAATTTTAGTTCCCATCAAGATTAAACAAAACAAAATGAGAAGAACAGAATTTATGGCAAGCAGAGTATATAATTATTAGATGACAGAAGATGACACTGTAAGCATATGAAAAGATTGAAAAATCTCTATTCCAGTACTTATAACAAGGGTTTTCATTTTCAGGTAAAAATTTGAGAAAAGCAAAAATGCCTCTCTCCCTCCCTAGCTAGCAGTAGAAAGTTACTTTTTATACTTAAGCTGATTTATATGAATATTTATGAATATGGAATTTTAAAATGTAAATTTAAGTAGTCATATATAGTTAGTGGCTACTGCTAGGTAACCAAATAGTTCAGTGAAAGTTTCTTTATATAGAAAGTCTTCCTGCTAATAAATGTAGAAATACTTTAGTATCACTTTACAAACCCTGAGGGCCCTGTTGCCACATTACCTTCACAGGATTAAACAATAAGACCATAATTAAGACCAAAGTGAGGGAATACTTTTTTAACAGGAGTGGTTAAGGAAGGCCTCTCTGAGCAAGAGCTATTTGGGCTGAGTCCTGAATGGAGAGAAGGAGCCAGTGATAAAAATCATTTGGGGCTGATGGAGTGCCTGTGTGTTGCTGGATCATTCTAATAAAGAGGTGTTACCAGCTACAATGACGTTGTGGTACTGAGTTTATGTTCGAAAGACAAAAAGGAGGCCTATCGTAGAGATGGAGGTGTAGGGTTTTTTTGTTTTGTTTCTTTAAAAATTTTTTAGTTAAATTTAATCATAAATCTGGGTTGGGGTTATTTTATTTTTCAGCTTTATTGAAGTGTAATTGACAAAATTGTAAGATACTGCCCAATGTGATGATTTTGATATACATATATATAGTGAAAGGATTTCTCCCATCAAGTTAATTAACATACCCATCACCTTATATATCTTCCCCCCCAAATCCTGTATATACATGATACCAAACAGTACTTGTCTTTCTCTGTCTGGCTTATTTCACTTAGCATAATGCCCTCCACATTCATCCATGTTATTGCAAATGACAGGATTTTCCTTCCTTTTTAAGGCTGTAATACTATTCTATTATATTTATATACCACATTTTCTTGAGCCATCTTTCTTTTTTTAAGATTTTATTTATTAGAGAGAGCACAAGTGGGGGGGAAGGGGAGATGGAGAAGCAGACTTCTCACTAGGAGCTGGATGTGGGGCCCAGTCCCAGGACCCCAAGATCATGAACTGACCCAAAGGCAGATGCTTAACCAACTGAGCCACCCAGACGCCCCTTTCTTGATCCATCTTTTGACAGATACTTAAACATTGTTTCCATACCTTGGCTATTATCAGTAAAGCTGCATCGAACATGGGAATACGGATACCTCTTCAAGATGTGTTTTTTGAGGTTTTGAGATATGGTTTTGTTTCCTTTGAAAATATACCCACAAGTGGGATTGCTGGATGATATGGTACTTCTATTTAGGTATGGATAATTTTAATGGAATGCCATCTCCCACACACCTGTTCTTACTAGATTTAAAAATTAGATTCTCAGGTTTCTGTGTATATTATCATACCATCTCTAAGTATAGTTAATTTTGTTCCTCTGTATAATGTCATATGTCCAAGTAAATGTATTAAGAATTATTCCTGGAAAGTTATATCAGTTATTTTTTTATGTTTTTATTTAAATTCCAGTCAGCATACGGTGTAATACTAGTTTCAGGTATACAATATAGTGATTCAACACTTCCCATTCATCACCCAGTGCCCATCACAGCAAGTGCACTCCTTAATCCCCATAACCTATTTAACCCATTCCCCCCCACCTCCCTTATGGTAACCATCAGTTTGTTCTCTAAAGTTAAGTCTGTTTCTTGGTTTGCCTCTCTTTTTTTACCCTTTGCTCTTTTGTTTCTTAAATTCCACATGAGTGAAATCATCTGGTATTTGTCTTTTTCTGATTCACTTATTTCGCTTAGCGTAATACTCTCTAGCTCCATCCACATCGTTGCAAATGGCAAGATTTCATTCTCTTTTATGACTGAATAATATTCCCTAGAATATATATATACCACATCTTCATTCATCAGTTGATGCACAATTGGGCCGTTTCCATAATTTGGCTATTGTAGATAATGTTACTATAAACATAGGGGTGCACGTATCCCTTTGAATTCGTATTATTCCTTGGGTAAATACCCAGTAGTGCAATTACTAGATCGTAGGGTAGTTCTAGTTTTAACTTGTTGAGGAACCTCCATACTGTTCTCCACAGTGTCTGCACCAGTTTGCATTTCCACCACCAGTGCAAGAAAAAGGTTCCCATTTAACCACATCTCACCAACACCTGTTGTTTCTCATGTTACTGGTTTTAGCCATTCCGACAGGTTTGAGGTGGTATTGTAGTTTTGATTTGCATTTCCCTGATGATGAGTGATGTCGAGCATCTTTTCATGTGTCTGTTGGCTACTTGCATATCTTCATTAGAAAAATGTCTATTCATGTTTTCTGCACATTGTTTTAATTGGATTATTTGGGTTTGGGGTGGCTATTGTATAAGATCTTTGTATAGTTTGGATACTAACCCTTTATCAGATATGTCCTTTGCAAATATCTTCTCCCATTCCATAGGTTGCCTTTTAGTTTTGATGATTGTTTCCTTTGCTGTGCAGAGCTTTTTATTTTGATACAGTCCCAATAGTTCATTTTTGCTTTTGTTTCCCTCGCCTCAGGAGACCTATCTAGAAAAAAGTTGCTGTGGCTGATGTCAAAGAAATTACTGCCTGTGCTTTCTTCAAGGACTTTTATGGTTTCATATCTCATTTTAGGTCTTTAATCCATTTTGAGTTTATTTTTGTGTATAATGAAAGAGAATGGTCCAGGTTCATTCTTTTGCATGTTGTTCAGTTTTCCCAATACCATTTGTTGAAGAGACAGTCATTGGCTATTCTTTCTTGCTTTGTTGAAGATTAATTGGCCATATAACTGTAGGTTCATTTCTGGGTTTTCTGTTCTGTTTCATTGATCTGTGTGTCTATTTTTGTGCCAGTACCGTAGTGTTTTGATTACTGAAGTTTTGTACTATAGCTTGAAG